TGCTCGGTGGTTCGCCCTTCGTCATCATCGTCGCGTCCAGCCCGAACCGTTGTTATCGGCAACTCAGACCTTGGTATGACCACCAAGACAGGCGAGTGCGACGACACCGTGGTGCTGAACTCGCCGGGCCGAGACTGGGTCGGCTCGGTCCTCGAGATGTGGTGACTCGGCGGCGCTCGCCGAGCTCGCGCCCAGAGGATCTAGTGTTCCCAAACCTGTCCTTGGCCAAATATGAGGCTCTTTTTTAGACAGTACAGCCGGTCCGTCTTAGGTAAGACTGGCCACCCGACGCCGCACGTTGCACGCCACTCGGCGCCATCCCATGATGTTCTGACAGGTGCTCGCAGCCTGAGCATGGTGCAGAAGCGTGGCAGGTGGGCTCACCCTAAGTCTGTGAAATAATATGAGAAGAGCGGCCGCCTCTTGCTTCAGGCTGTTCGCCTCCCGCCAGAGCTCGCAAGACGAGCTGCAGAGCGGAGGCCTCCACTTTTCAGTGTTTCCTAGAGGCCCTCCAGTAATCAATGTCGGTATGGGTGCAGTTGTGCTAAGGCCTTTGCATTTTCCTCAGCGTTTTTTGCAATCAATATGCAGGCTTCGGAAGGAATGTTTTGCAGTGCTCGCCTGATGCATGTTGGAAAAACTATTCACGTCTGCTTCGCAGTGTCACTGGGCCAATGTAGAATGGATAGAGGTGTTTATAATCTTTGATTGTTATATCTCTCAATTCGGTGTGGCCCGCTTGTTGGTCTAAGGCCTTTGCATTTTCCTCAGCGTTTTTTGCAATCAATATGCAGGCTTCGGAAGGAATGTTTTGCAGTGCTCGCCTGATGCATGTTGGAAAAACTATTCACGTCTGCTTCGCAGTGTCACTGGGCCAATGTAGAATGGATAGAGGTGTAATCATACTCACCATAATCATCATCATAAGCACACTCATCATACTCATCATCACCATCATCATAATCATCATCATGGTCATCATCATCGTCACCATCATCGGCATCATCATCATTACCACCATCATGATCGTCATACTCAATATATCATCATCATCACCAGCATCGTCATTACCACCCATCATTATCATCGCTGGCCTCAGCGTCATCATCGCCATCGTCATAATCATCGTCATCATTATCATCACCGTCGTCACTACTATCATCATCACCACCATCATCACCACCATCGTCAGCATCGTCATCATCACCATCACCATCACCATCGCCATCACCATCACCATCACCATCACAGTCAGCATAACCATCGCCATTACAACCATCACCATGACCATAACCATAACCATCACCATCACCATCACCACCGCCACCATCCTCACCATCCTCACCATCTATACCGACGACGTTACATGGCTCACAAAAGAATTGGTCGAGGAACCGTGGGGGTTACTTGGATGTTGTCATATCAGCTCTTCCAGATAGCACTGTGAGGAAACTGGAGCGGCCGCGATCGCCCCGCGCAGGCCGCTCATCGGCCCGTCCCCTCGGGGGGATACTTTGCGCGTCGTGCAATCGTTCGTTCGTTCCCCTCTCTCTCTCTCTCTCCCTTCCATTTTTTTCGGGCGGTCAAACGAAGACAGGTACGCCAACCCAGGCCAGGCCCATCCTGGGGCCAGGACGGACTTGGGGCCAGGTCCGTGCCAGTGCGCGCAGTTGGTTCGGGTCTTCTCTCTTTTTTTTTCCGTCGTGGCTCGGGGCGTGCCCGTCCGCGGAGGGTGCCACGCGTAGGATGCCGGGGGGGGGGGGACACGCGTGGGACAGCCGGGGCGCGGCCGCGCGCTCTGGGGGAGAGGCGGCCTCGATGCAGGCCGGCGAAGGCCTCCTCACACCCTCTCTCCCCCCCCCGTGCGTGCCGTTTGTCACCACCCACCAAACCACCCCAACCCAACCCGAAGGCTCAGATTTACCCCCGATTTCCAGTGGGGGGGGGTCGGGAAACATCGAAAAAACACATGTGGAACCCTTACCCCGCCCAACCCGAAATTCGGGTCTTCGGGTTGGGTTGGGGTGGTCTGGTAGGTAGTCAGTTTGAGGACACCACATAAATCTCACGGAAAACTATAGCGTCTGCGGTGCGCTTGTAAGTCGTTCAGAACCATCGCTCGTAGATCACCAGATCCTCCTTCTGGATAAGATATTGGGATCTGCCCCCCGGAATTCACAACTCACCTTTCCGTCTGGCAATTTGCTTGTGATGTTGCCCCATCTTCCTTCCTACATGTGAGCTCATACCATCCCAGGAAGGCCAGTGTCCGCCCCCGCTGATCGCCTGCAACGGGTATTATGCGCGCGCTGTCGTTTATCAGAAGCCACAAGTTTTCAATAATCCCTTGCAACAAGTGGGACGAAGTGCGCACTCGCGCGTCGTCGCGCGCGCACGCCGCAATCCTTCAAAAACCATGGGTTTCGGACAATGTCCAAATCGAGTGTCCCGAGAACGTATAAAAAACACAGGGTTTCGCAACAAGCGTGTTCAATAACAAATTTGCGCTCGGGCTCATGCGAATTCTAACGAAGACCAGATCGAATCTTCAATATTTTCATAACTTGCTACTAAAAGGGCATGTCGCGCGCGCATGTCGGAATCGTTCGGACGCCCTTGCGCGCGTGCTGTCCCAAGATCCCACTTCACAAAATGGGACGAAGTGCGCACGCGCGCGACGTCGCGCGCGCATGCCGATATCCTTCAGACAAGAAGTTGGTTGCATATGGGTTTCAAATCGTGTGCCACGAATACACACATATATATATGTATGTACATAGATTCACATACATGTGTTCATGTAAAGCTCAAAGATGCCCGCGCTCGCGCTCCTGCGATTTTCAAGCAAGCCACAAATTTGTGATACATCACCGAGTAGATACGATGTATATTTGTACCCATCTAGTAATTTATCGTCATGCACATATATAGGTACAACACATTTTCATTAAACTTGGGGCCCCTCGCGCCGCACGTCGAAATCATTGAAGCGCCCTTGCCCGCGTGCTGGGGGGGGACGATCCGTTTCAAATAATACCATGCGGGCCACTCTCGCGCGTCGGCCGCGCGCGCATGTCGAGCTCTTTCCAAAACCTTCATCGCCGACGCGAGGGCGTCGTCATCGTTGTCGGCATGATCAGCATCTGCGTCGTCACTGGCCTTGCTGTCGTCACTGCCATCATCGTCGCCAGCATCGCCACCATCATCATCGCGTCTACCGTTGTCGACGTGCCATGATACCGCGCCCGCCCAAGTCGCCGAGTGGCAATAGAGTGCCCGTTGGGAAGTGCCCAGCGGTGAGCGCCACCGGGGCCGCATCGGTAGCGCCAAACTATCTGGCCGCTGCGCGCGCGAGCATGCGCGGGGTAGCGCGGCCGCAGAGATGCACCATCGAGTTCCAAGCTCTCATGGCCATCGCCGCCGTATGGGTTTTGCAAACCAAGTTGCGGGTTGGTGGGTGGGCTGATTGCGCAAGCAGTGGAGTGAGTGGACAACTCATGGCGAGCAACAGTTCAGGCACAACATAAGTTGCACCACATAGAATGCGCAACCACATATATTGCACCACGACGATTGCGCAACATATGTTGCACCAGATAGGTTGCACGCCCCGTCGCCGCCTCGTCGCCGCCTGTCGTCTGGGCCGCGTCTATGTTGTCGCCGTCGCCGCCCCATCGCCGCCTCGTCGCCGCCTTGCCGCCGCTGTTTGATTGCGCCACATCGGTCGCACGAAAAAATACTCCCAGCGGGGCGTTTTGATATCGCTCAGGACATGGGCTGCTCAACCATGTATATATATACACATCTATATTTATATGCACCCCACACATTGCATCACGTAAATCGCGCAATCACATATACTGCAACATGGACGGCGAAACCTGTTGCACAACATCAGTTGCACAACATAAATTGCACACCACATAAAGTGGACCACCTATATTGCACCACCTCGATTGCACCACGTAGATTGCGCCACATAAGTTGCATCACGTAGAACGCACACCGCAGATTTCCCAACACATCTTACACCGCATAGGCTGCAGTTCCTCAGTTGCCACATGTAAGCAGCATCGCATATATTGCACCACTGGTACACATGGCACTGCATATGATGCACCAGCTCGATTGCACAACATTGCACACGATATAGTAGTGCATAATATATGGGTATAGATGCGTGTAGACACATACACATATACAGACGTAAGCCGCCTGTACGGCACCATCTAGTTTACACGTAGACTGCGGCACATACGGTGCCCTACACCTATTGCACAAACTGTATTGTACCATCGATGTTGCGCCACATAGATTGCGCAACGCAGTTTGCACAACATTGATGGCTAGACACACACGGTTCGGGGTCCACGCTGGCTAACGTTTGATGTTCTCGTCGGCTCTCGTCCCCATCGCCATCGGAGTGCTGGGCCTCCTTTCCTTGCGCGGTTCGAGGGTCTGGGCTTCGAGGTTCGGGGTCTTCCGCCGTTCCCGTCGTTTCTCGTCGGATTTCCAGCTTCGGGATGCGGCTGCGCCTCGTCGAGAGCGTCCCGTGGGTGGCGACTCGTCCCGAACGCCCAGTGGGCCAGTGGGCCAAAGGCCAGGAAGAACTGCGCACCCCACAGAGGGCCCGCTCTGATGTTCTTCCGCGGCTCGACGCAAGCAGGTACGGTGCTTCTGGTTAGGGGCCTTACGCGTAGTTGCTGCGTTTGACACGGTCACTAGTGGCCACCCACGGTTCATGGTATATGACTGCCATGGGACTCTCTTTCCCTCTTTCCTGCCTCTCCCCCTTCTCCTCCCCTTCCTCCTCGTCTTCCTCATCCCTCTTCTCTTCTTTCTCCTCTTTTTTTCTGGTCTCTCCTGCCTGTCCCTCCCGCGTGTCCCCCCCGCTCTTCCCTCCTGCTCCTCCTCCCCTGCCCCCCCACCTCCCGCGGCTCCCCCGCCTTGCTCGCCCTCCCGCCCCCTCGCTCCTCTCTGCGCGGCCCGCGGTCTTCCAGGATCGACGCCATGGCAGCAGACGACGCCTCCACAGAGTTCAGCGAGGACACGGGGGACGTCGACTCCGAGTGAGGCGCGTGATCTTCCGGAAGGTCCCGCCAGCGCGAGCAGACAGAAACACCGTTCACGGCACAATCAACCGCGACGGTCGCATTATAGATCGGGGGGGGCCGGCACCCTTGTTGTTGGGTGCGTCGCCTTCTGGGCAATAATTCGGAGCTGCCATCATAGCAGCAGAAACAACTGCACAAACATAAACATTCGGAATTCCACGCGGATTTCTAGGATCGGCGCTGGACGCCTCTGGCGGCGCCTCCAGCGCCGCCCTTGGCGCGCTTCGCGCGCCAGGGAACGGGGTCCAGCGCGGATCCTAGAAATTCGCGCGGAGCTCCGAAAGCGGATGTCTATGCAGTGTTTTCTTCTTCTACAGAAGCCATTGTTTCTTGTAGTAAGGTATATTACCCCATTGAGGTGATTCTGTTTCAGGTGGCTCCATGGGTCGGACAGCCTAGTGATCGAACTGCTCTGGGGCTATAGTTCGTATTACGTCAAAGCGTTAGGGTAAAGTCAGCCTCGATTGAACCTGGGGGCGTCAGCGTTTTTGATCAAGCCGCTTCATGATCTCAGCCTCTCCCGCACCTGGAACAGCATGGTGGATTGCATTGGCTTCTTGGAGCTCCAGAGCCCCCCCAGCCTTTCCTTCTTTTCTGGCCACGCCGATCGACAGAGGCAGACTTCTTCTGAGGGTCAATGCCCCGTCTCTGCCTCTCCGACTGTGGAGCCGATTCTTTTAGTCTACCGTCCCCACTTTTCCTCCTTTGGCCCGCCTAGTACCGTTTTGACGGCCAGCCTTCCCGGTACCGTGGGCAGCTCATCGCGGTGGGGGCAAGCCGTGCCTCGCTTCCCGGATCGCCGCCCGGCGGTTTGCTCAGCGAGCGCAGAGGCACCAATCTTCCGCCGCGAGCCGATTGTTTGATTATGGATGCATACGGGTTTCCGCCCGCCCCGAGCCCGCCCAAAGAAGGGCAATTTCACAAACACAACCTTTCGGATGTCCGCGTAGGTTTCGTGGATCGGCGCTGGCCCCCCTCCCGGGCGCGCGGAGCGTGCCAGGGACGGCGCAGGCGGCGCTGCTGGGGGGCCTAGCGCCGATCCAGGAAACCCGCGCGTAGGTCAGGAAGATTTTGTTTGTAAATTGTTTCTCTCTAAAACAAGAGCTGTGCATTTTGACGAAAGGCAGGGAGGACGTGCATAGTGGAGGAGAGCGGGGACCAGTAGATGGAGCTGATGGGGGAGTCGGATGGGGCAGGGAGGGCATGAGTTTCGGACGTGCGGCCATGGTGTGCCATTGTTTCATCTGAGCCATTGCCGGACGCAAATGCAGGCCCACACCATTTCTTGTGAGGAGCGAGTCCTTGGGACACATCTTGGATTCATGATGGTATTTCCAAGTTTAGGCTTGCGGTTGATCTGGATCCCATCACGAGGCCAAGGGTGGACACATCGTTTCGGCTTCGTGTGGCTGCCTTTGTGCCCTCTGCGGGCAGAGGTGGGGCTTGCCAGGGCCGTCTAGGGATCCTCGTTTTGGTTTCTTCGGGGTACATTTGGCGGTCTTGAGGGACTCGTGGGCCCTATGAGTGCGGTTGCAGGTCGCCCGATGACCGGTGCTTGGTTGGGGTATTTTTTAAAGCTGCTGCAGCGGGCTCGAGGAGGACATGAGGAGGAGGAGGAGGGCAAGGAGAAGGAGGAGGAGGGCGAGGGAGAGGAGACGAGGGACGAGGACAACCGAACGTCTCACATATCTGTTCTACCCTCGACAGAAAGGGGTCGGCGAATTTCTGGAGTTGTCCAGAAACAGTGTGCGGTCTGCCGAGGCCAAGCATGTCATTCAAGGTTCGTTCCCTCACCTCACACTATTCGCCCCCTGCCCTTTCACTTCTTCTGCTCCTCCTTCTCCTCGTTCCTCCCTTCTGCCCTCCTCACCTCACCTCCCCCCTCCTTCTCCTTCTCCTCCTCCTCCTCTTCCTTTGCGTTTTCCTTCCGCGAAGTCTACAGATGCACTTGGAGACTCGAACATCGCAGAAAACATCCCAAATCTGGGTACTCGATCCCCCTCGTACACTTTCTCCCTATTCATCCTTCCCCTCCAAGGTACTGGCTGAGTCGGCACCAGAACTTGCTGGGTAATGGGGCATGCAGAGGCGTTGGCCTCGATGATCCCCGACTGCGCAGCTCTTGGTTCGTGTGCGTCCATTACTTTTTGCGGACGCACGTGGTGCGGATCCGGCATCCTGTCGGGGGCTTGTTTTACTCCTCAGCACTTTTTTCCCCATGCGTCGCTTGATCTGCCGCCCCGCGTTTTCTCAGCCGTGCCACGGGCGCCGCGCAGAGGCATTGGCCTCGGCGGCTCTTTTTGCACGGTTCGAAGCATTGGCTTAGGCAGCACTCAAGGGCGCATTTTTTTTTGTTGCCATTAGGTGTGTTGGAGGACCGAGTCGACCACAAGGGGTAGGGAGGAGTGGGGGAGGAGAGAGGATGAGGATAAGGATGAGGACGAGGGGGAGGGGGCGAAGGAGGAGGAGAAGGAAAACGATGAGGAGGAGAATGAGGACGAGGAGGGGGAGGACGAGGAGGAGGAGACGTAGACAGTGGGAGTGGAAGGAAGTGGGACAGACGACGAAGGAGTGGGCGGGAAGAAACGGAGGAGGAAGAAGAGGGGAGGAGAGGGGGAAGGGGGCCGGGAGGGAGGTGGAGGGATCACGAGCGACAAGGAGGCACCAGGACCGAAGAGCAGAGAGGACATGGAGGAGGATGAGCTGCCGTCGTCGTCCTCATCCTCGCCCGGGCGGTGGTGCGGCGTGAGGCCTTAGGATTTTGTAGTCAGCGCGGCTCGGTGTCCCTGAGCCGGTCGGCGCAATTCCGCAGCAGCCCTGGCTTCGCTCATCTTTTTTGTCTTGCGGGCGGGGAGAGGGAGGGAACGCATGCGCCACCAAGCCTCCGCAGCTGACCACGAAGCGGCCGGGTCCTGGGGGGTCATGATCCCCCCAGTGTCCACTTGTGTTTTTCCTATAGAGAAGTGCCCCCAAAGGGCTCGCACCTTTCTTTGTAAGGGATAGCCTTGAGGCTCAAACTGTGTTGTTGGCCCCCTTTTTACATCAGCAGCGGTTCCCGCCTGATACTTCCCCACACTTGATTCAAAGGCGCGCTCTTGTGCAGGACTTCTTCGCGATTTACTCAGGCATCGCTTGTCATTTGGGACTTACTGGCAATTTATTAGCACCCCGCGAAGTCGACGTCTAGGAATCGCGCTCTCGCAAGGGAGTTTCCCGCAATTCACTTAGGAATCATGCTTTCGCCTCGGGCTTCTTCACAATCTATGAAGTTCGCTTCAATGCCACGCGCGCCCGTCAGGGCCCGCCTGCCCGACCCGCCCATGAGAGTCTGCAAGTCCGACCCGCGCGTCAATGTCCGCCCGTCTGCCCCGCTTGTTAGGGTCCCTTCGCCCGACCATGCAGATTAATGGCAGCGCACCTTCATCATCCACGCAGCTGAGGCAGAGTGGACAACCTCTGAGGCCTTCAGCAGCCCAATTCCTATCGAGACGCGTGTGCGCACCACTTTTGCTCTCAATCAGGTTCCTGGAGAGGTCACCAAACACTTGTTTCTGAGCTTCCCATCGTGACACACGTACCTGTTGTCCTTGCTTTTACTTCTGTTCCCGGAGATGTCTCAGGGTACCTGTATCTGAGGTTCTATCGTGACGCACGCTGGGGAACAAACTTAGTCTCAAATGCACCCGTCGTTGGTTAGCCAATGGGATCATGGAGCCATTGTTGTAGGATATACTGTACTAGATGCAGGCGTCGGCATGCGCCCGAAGTACGCTCGTGGTTCCCCAACCTGGAGGGAAATCTAGCCACTTCTGCAGAATCCCAAATGCCAGAAGAATCGGCAGAAGCTTGCGCGCATATTCCCCCAATGCGAGCCCAGGGACAACGACTAATTTCCCCAGCTCTGTTGGATCGCATGGCCACGTGCTGAGCTCACCCAGAGGCTCGCATGGCAACTTGCCGAAGTCACCGCGTAATTCGACAATCTTGTGTGTTACTTCATTAGCATTTGGCTCAACTTTAAGTTTCTGCATGCCCGCTGGCAGGAACACCCATTCACATCATGGGGAAAAAGCGCCGACGCACGTCGCGTGGCAACAAGCATACCCAATCGTCCCTGTGCATCGTGCTCAGACGCTGCGAGGTTGAGAGGGGCCAGGCATCGCATATCGGCATGACGACCTTTCTCGCGCACGTATTCCACGGACCTGGAGGACGCTTTGGATGGGCGCGAGAGCGAGTTGTCCATGACGACTCAGGACTAACGAACCCGACCTTGACCTTCTGATCTGGGTCGCCGAGGTCGAGCTGCGAAGGTGGCCGCCCTGGCGCCCGAAGTCGTTGCGTGGGGCAGAGCCCCCGTCGGGTCCTATGAGAAGTCGTTGAGGTGCCCGTGCGAATCCGCCCGGCAATGCGTCTAGCGGAGCCGCAAGTCAAAGGTCATGAGGACCTCGGGCGAGAGCGAGGAGTTCGCTGTGGCCAAACCCAAGGCCAAGGCGAAGAGCGACCCGGTTGCGGCGACTAGGGCCCCGCCTAGGACCGAGGGCAAGGGCGAAGGGAAGGACAATGGTAGAGGTGCAGCCGCCGACGGTGCTAAATGGTCGCGCCTCACCTGGGCGAGGGACGGGAAGTATGGCATCGGGGGCGACGAATGCAGTTTCGCCCGCGCGAAGGGCGTCGAGCACACTCAAACGAAGCAGTGCCTCGCCCGGACAGGCTCGGGCAAGGTGGTCGATCCCAAGACCATCGGTTGCCTTTTCTTTGCGAGGTCGGAAGGGTGTAAGGACAGTGATGCGCGCCCGATGGGGCCCGCGAGCAGGCCGAAGGATGCGCAGGCCAAGCCGAAAGCTAACTTCATGATCTGCACGATGCTGCCAAGACTTATGAGC